GCAAACACGACCACTATCGGGCTCCACACAAACAGTATCCCCAGGCTCCTCTCAGCACAGTAGTCTTCCCAACAGTCCATCAGCTTCACTGGATCGGGCGTGATACACGTATTATTACCAGGATTGAACTGGTAATCGAGACACCAACCAGTAGGGCATGCAGCAACGTCACCAGCAGGCAAAGGCGTGGTACCAGTTTGAGTACCATTGTTATTGGCACCAGTAGTGACACTAGACGTAGGACCATTAGGAGAACCCTGTTGCGATGGAGCAGTAGTCATAGCAGGACTCGAGGTGGCGGCGTTGTCGTTGCCAGCAGGAGTCGTTACGACAGTACCGTTGGAATCAACAGCCCCAGAGAGGGCGACCAAATAAGCAGCACTTACGGCGAATGACTTGAAGAACTTCATATACAGAAATGGGAAGATAAGGCAGTAACTTCAACAACAAAAAACATAATTTTGTCTCCACACACAACAAGTCCACGATGAGTTTTTAGCTAAGAACTTATGGCTGCTAGCACACAATCACGACGTCTACCTCAATGAGATTAATTGCAAAGTCAATTACGCGGGTTCCAGTAATGAACACAAGTCTCCACCTAGTCAAGCTGATAATGACGTATAATGCTGGTAGAGAAACGTTGGGACAGTTGTTGAGGAGCATCCCGAATAACTTCAACTTATACCCACATCTGGACACGACCGTCTCCCATTGTAAGGAGGATCCAAGGCTGATGAGGATGCCACGAGCAGGAGAGAATTCGACCACCATCCTTAGGGCGTAGCTTCTTCACTGGGACCACCAGGGGATTCGACATAGCGTCATTGTACCTTACACACAGCAACAGTGACACGGAGTGTCCCCTTATGGGGACAGCAGCCCACACAATTCCTTATACCAGTTTAGGAGAACGACAGAACATTGCATGGTAACCTACACTTTCGCGTGGAATATATGAGCACTGCCATCATCAGAGCACGTCGCCATAAGAGGAAGCCTTCCCGCGGCCAAGGGATGGAATTCAACATCACGAACCACTCGCTTATGATATCTGTCAA